GCGTGTCTATCCGATCTTCTACTCCCGATCATCCTCAACAGCGATGGAACATTTTGTTCCATCGCTGTTGAGCGATGGAACAAAACGTTCAAAAATATGTTAGCACACATGATACAAGAGAACAAAAGGGATTGGGACAGGATAGTTCCCTTTTTGTTATGGGCATATCGAGAGGTGCCAAGCGAGACCACTGGTATATCCCCGTTCGAATTGTTATATGGCAGAGCTCCGACGGGTCCTTTATCTGTCCCGAGGGGCATATGGGCAGGCGATGTTAGTCCTCCAGATAGTCTAAACACCGACATCAAAGAGTATTTAGATAAATTAACCGAAAGGATTAAGGTAGTACATAATTATGCTAATAAAAGCGCAGCGTCCCAACAACAGGTCTACACAAGCCATTATAACCGGCATGCGAGACGAAAGGAATTTGCAGTAGGAGACGCTGTCCTAGTTTTAAATCGCTCTGCAACCGCAAAACAGATGACAGATGGGAGGGTCCGGGCGTCATAGAGGAAAAGGTACGCAACAGGAGCTACCGGGTAAAAATGGAGAATGGGGCGAAGAGATGGGTGCATATCGATAAACTAAAGCAGTATGTACGCGAGATGCGTTCCATCGGGGTTATATTCGAAGGGGATGACGTCTTTGGCGAAGTTATGGCTGCCCCAACGACATCCGGAAAGATCAAATCCCCGTCGGGAGAAAAACGGGCAAACCTAGATTCATGTTCACAGTTAACCAAGAGGGAAAGGATAGAATTAGGGAATGTCCTAGAGGACTACCAGAGGCTATTCGATTCGAGACCGGGGAGAACAGCTGCCGGATGCCATAAGATAGTCTTAAAGGAAGGATGCAACCAAAACGCCTAATGCCGTATAGGATACCTCTGGCTTTAAAATCCAAAGTGGACCAGATAATTGACGAATTACTCGAGGCTAGGTTAATCAAAAGCAGTTCCTCGGAGTTCGCTCACCCGATTGTTTGCGTTGCAAAGAAAGAGGGGGGGAATCCGACTCTGTGTAGATTATAGACATTTAAACGCAGGCACTATAGCGGATAGATATCCTATGTCCCATCCGACAGAGCTCATCTATCAGATTTCTCAGTCTCGATACATAACCTCGCTAGATTTAAGTAGAGGATATTGGCAAGTGCCTCTAGATGAAGCTGTCGATACATGACCGCCTTCATAACGCATAGGGGGCAATTTTCTTGGGAGGTAATGCCGTTCGGATTGAGGAACGCGTCTGCCACTTTTCAACATATCATGGACGAAGTTTTAGCCCCTCATAAGGCTTATGCGATGGCATATATTGATGACATTGCCATCTTTTCCAATGACTGGCACGAACACTTGAGACACGTAAGAAGTGTATTAGGCTCGTTACAAGAGAACGGGTTCACCGTGAATATCGCTAAATGTCAATTTGCACAACCGCATATTAAATACTTAGGGCATATCGTTGGGTCAGGTCAACATAACCCCGATCCTGATAAGAGTTGAGGTAATCACCAGGTTAGAACTACCAAAAACAAAAAAGCAAATGCGTAGTTTCTTGGGAATCTGCGGCTATTACCGAGACTATATCGAGGGTTTTGCCAACGTGACGGCACCCTTAACCAATTTACTGAATCGCCGATCTCCTAACGTCATAAATTGGGACCCTGTGGCCACCCAAGCCTTTTGTGCGATCAAGGAGAGATTAGGGAAGGTTCCATTTTTGTACGCACCCGATCCAGAAAGGCCATACGTGTTATTTACGGATGCGTCGGAACATGCTGTTGGCGCGTGTCTAGCCCAGATGTCACCCGAGGGCAAGGAGAGACCGGTAGCCTTCGCAAGCAGAAAGCTACGCGGATCGGAATTACGTTGGGCTACGATAGAGAAGGAGGCGTTTGCAGTGGTATGGGCCTTAAAAAAATTTCATTATTGGGTATATGGGAATGCCGTTAAGGTAATAACTGACCACAACCCTCTAAAGTATCTGACATTAAGCACGCCTCATAGTGCAAAATTGGTACGTTGGGCATTGGCGTTACAAAATTATAATGTGGAAATCGAGCACAGGAAGGGGGAAAATCATACTAATGCTGACGCCCTATCCAGGCTGGAAGTCAGGAGCGGTCCGGAATCTCCAGATCGGACGAACAGGGCACATTAAATTCGGTACCGAGTCCTTCAGATAGATGTAAGTGATATCTATAAGGCGATTCTGAATATAGATTAATGGGACAATTTGTCAAGATTAGCATTGTACTGTAAATACGTGTCTGCTAGATGTTAAGTGCTTACAATGTAAATAATTTGTTAGTATACAATAATATCTATAGTAATCTGCTCCTTGTATTAGAAAAAGGGGGAATGTATTGTAAAAACTTATTTGTGTAATGATAATTATGGTACGTGGTGTTGGTGTATGTTTAGGTCAAACAGGCTTTTGTTAAAGCGCAGTTTGAACCTTGTCGGTGGGAGATGTAAAGTAGTGACCTCTTAGCAGAGGGGGAACAAAAGAGGCGCGACCTTGTCAATTGGACCCACATGCGGTCGGGTAATACCACTTGTAAAGTATTGACTTGTAAACAAGGGTAAGCAAAGGAAGCGCCGGCTTTGTTAATTGGACCCACCTGCAGTCAGACGGTAATACAATTGCCATACCATAAACAAACGAACGTAAACAAGTGGCGGACGTTTGTGTGAGCTCCACTCTCGTCGGATGACGGCGGACCTGAGTGTAAGCTGTTCGGGCATAAAAAAGGGTCGTGATTGGTCGGAAGTTCCCGTTCCAAAATCCCTTAAATTGCGGGCCGAACGAGAGGGAAAGAGAGAAGGGCAAGAGACTGATACACGGTTGTCTCAGGCACTTGGGAAGCCCGCTGAGCGTAAAGAGAGAGTGTTCTCCTCTGTTAATCTTCTCAGGGACGGGTTAGTGCTGAGACCGGACCGACCGTGCAGTTGAGCCGACTCCAAAAACTGACTGAGGTCTCTCCCAAGAGTATTAGTTTCCAGATGCCAATCTGGCACGTGAATTCACCACCCATGATCTTCCTGTACATATACTATGTTTATAACTTGTACAACTGTAAATAAACTATATATATATATTCAATTTGAGTGTGGAGGTGTGCTTTCCGACGAACCTGATTCACCGCATCGAGTCGTGATACACAAGAAACCAACTCAACGAGGTGGAGTTGGGAAGGAACATTTTCAATAAGATCTTCACTGCATTATCACCATTACTGTTCATTCTGTGCATGGATACTGTATCAGCAGATATCCAAACACCTCATCCATGGACAATACTCTATGCAGATGAAGTTTTCATTGCAGATCAGAATCAAAAAAACCTTGAAAATGAAGCATAAGGCTGGAAAACTCATTTGAGCAAAAATGGTTTGCAATTAAACATTCAGAAAACTGAATATTTGGAATATAGCACACAGACAAATAGAAAAATCCTAATAGATGGCCAAGAAATTAATAAAATCTATGAAATTCAAATACTTAGGCTCCTTTATTTCATCAAATGATGAAATAACACCAGATATTTGTGCACGAATCAATGCTGCCTGGATGAAATGGAGAGAAGTAACCAGGGTGCTTTGCGATAAAAAGATGCCAAGACATCTTAAGGCAAAAATATGTCAGTCATCTGACCAGTAGCAATGTATGGGTCAGAATGCTAGCCTATCACAGATAAGCATGTACAGGCACACTATGCCATGGAAAAAAAATGCTAAGATGGTCATTGTATCTTATGCAATTTGACACATAATGATGATGACATCACTAAACAACTAGGAGTTATGTCAAGTATGGACAAGGTGTGAGAAGCTCAACTGTGCTGATGTACACATGTTATGCTTAGTGATGACAAAAGGAAAAAGTATCCTGTTATGACCGAGGGGAAACTAGACCTCATGGACGATCCAAAAAACAGCTGCTTAACTGAATCAAAGAAGATATGGAAATAATGGAAATTTCACCAAATGATGCACTAGATCAAGTAAAATGAAAGAATGCATGTAAACAAGCAGATCCTGAATCAATGCAGGACAAATATAGTAGATAAGAAAAATTAGTTATTAAATCATTTCTATAAATTTTATTTTTCACTAATTGGTAATTTCTAAATATAAAAACAATTTTTAAATACATTCATTTTATCATCATTGTCTGCAAAACTTGTTTCATAATGCAAAGATGCAATGTGTCTTTTAAAAACGATAGCTTATGATAATGTAGATTCAATAATATGAATTTCCTGATTAGATACCATTTCTAACACACACAATGCTAGTGATCAAAAACATGACCAAGCATATTTCACATACTTGATATGGTGATGCACACCATATCAAGTATGTGAAATATAAATATGTATTTCTATATGCAAAATGGAATTCAAAGCTGAGGCTGTGTGTGAAGTCAATGTGTGAATGTCTTTATTCTGATGATGAATTAAACAGTCATAAAATAAACAGTTAGGTATTCTGTAGTTATAAATAATCATTAATAGATACATATAAAAAAAACAAATGTAAATGTTTCAAAAGTTTTTTACTAAAGTTTGCCTGCTCTCAAGATATTACACTTACTATTTCCACAATCTCCTATTTTTTTTCTATCTTCCAGATAACCAGAAGTTATTCAGGTTTTTTGAAAAAACATACTTTTATTTTATTTTTATTAAATAAAAAGACTTCAGTCAAATTGGTTAAAAGTTTCTCTATTTAACTTACTTTTACAAAAATAAAGTTGCACTCAGTTAAACTTAAGTTATTATAATTTCATTGAATTCATAATCAATTAGACTCAATAGAAGATAAGAGACTGACAATGGCCTATTCTATAAATTGAAAACATTTGCCAAATAAAACAAATCTCAGCAGCAAAAACATGTTTAATATTAATATTTTGAAGGTAAGAGATACGTTATCTCATCAACTCTCAATATGAGATAATCATTTCTAAAACATATTTATCAGTTTATAAATGTTTTATTATATTGCTTACCTTTCAGTAGATGTTGGAGAATCAGTATAAAATATTATGGGTAATTGCCCAGCATGAGTGAGTTGGAATAATAATTCTGCTTCTATATTTTCATAGGACTAGAATATAAAAAAAAATTAGAAATATATAAGAATTTTAAGTTTTTAAGCAACATTTAAAAATGTATGCACATGGAAGTTGATAACTAGGTTACAAGCATACCAAAACATAAGTTTATATCAAACATCCATTTTTCAACAAAACTGTTATGAAAACATTTAGGCACTTGTTTCTCCATTTTATGAGCTTCTGAAAACATGCTACATAAAAGTCTGTTAGCTGTCAGTCACAACACTACATGTTCCAGAAACCAACTATTATTTGAAAAATAGTTGTTATTTTAAATAAAAAGCTAATTATCATTCAGTGCTTGATCCAGGCAATATGATCATATATCCAGGTTAAAACCTGAATCTGAATTTTTCAATCTGAAAAGATGATCATAGAACTTTGATCAAGCATTAAGTGATTATCACTTTTTTGTACTTTTAAAATAATATTTGGGAAAGAATGTTCTTCAAATAATAAAAAGTTTCTGAACCATATAGTGTAGTGAATGAAAGCAAATAGACTTTTATACAGCATGTTTTCAAAAGCTGGTATAATGTTAGAACAAGTGCCTTCACTTTGATTCACTAACACAATATGTGTTACAATTTCAACATTTGGCAATATTTCATCTTTATTTAGTTGATCAACTAAATAAAGATGAAATATTGCCAAATGTTGAAATTGTAACACATATTGTGTTAGTGAATCAAAGTCATAAAAAAACACAGTTTCAGAAGATTAAAAAAGTGCCTTCACATTTACAGGAGTTTTGTTGCAAAAGAGAATATTCTATGTTAGAAATTTTCTGGATTATTATAAGTATTTGTAACCTAGTTATTGACTTTATTAGTAATATACTATGAAATATTGAGTAAAAGAGGATTATCACTATGTTTAGAATTGTGAGGGAGATCAAGAGCTTATCCATATAAATAAATTTAGCCCCTGGAAAAGCTAGAATAAAATACATTTGAACTATTATTATTGAATCTATCTTGGATGAACAGCAAACATTCTGATTTGAAAATAATTTTTCAAATTTAGCAATAGTATTTAAAAAGTACCAAACAGAATTTAACAAAATTTTAAAATATTTTCTGCATTTGTAATATTTTGCTATTTTTCATTTTAATAAAATATAAAATATTTATTATCTTCTTTTATTTTAGTATTATAACTTATTATTAGACATGATCATGGAAGTGGAGCAAGTACATAATAATACAATCCATTATTTGATTAGAAACAGTTTTGTCATGTCTGTATAAAGAAAGCAACTACTCAGTCAACATATACACATCCAATGTAGTGATGTTTACTAGTACAAACTAATAGCTTTTAGATTGTTGTTTTGGAGGGTTATATATATATATATATATATAGCACTAAAACAGAAAACCTAAGACCTAAAGAAAAAGGTTAACTTTATTGAAAAAATTGGGTTACCCTTTGAGCAGTCAAGATTATTCTCCAAACTGTCTATAACAAAAAAATTGTGAGAAAGGTTGTAAGTTAAAGGATTTGAGTAACTTCCAAAAATTTAGAATTACAGGGTTACAAATCAGCAAGCTCCTAAAAGCACACACTCAAGATAAGGACAAAGGATTATTTCTCTTAGACTTAACCATTTTTGACTGAATTAGGAATGACAAGGATAGCCTAACAGAAGATAAAAAAAGCAGAGTATGTAACATTCCAATAACAAATAACAAATCTAGTAAAATGGAGATGTATATTGAAAGCAGTCAGAACCTTAGATGAGAGACTAAAAGAATGCACAGTCTTATCAAAAAGGCAAAGTTATCACAGCTCTGGCAGAATAACTTTATGTAAATAAGAAAGCAAAACTGTTGTGGAAGGAAGCTAGGATTACAGTATAGTACTGAAAAAAGAAATGTTCCTATCAGGATAGTCAAGGAGTAGTTAATAGTAATTGAGAGCAAGTAACAAGACATGAGAGATTGGCTCTTGACCTGTGGATTTGTATGATGAAACCAATAGTTTCAAAAAGGACCCAATAAATCTGGTACAGAGTCTTAAGCATGGACACAAATAATGAAACCAGCCAACAGTTTTGTTGCTGTTTTACTTGCTTGTTTTGTTGTTGCATATTTGTACTATCCTGAAAGTTCTATGAATTTAAAAGATGCAAGCCTGAATAGTATTATTCTAATCATCTTTCAAAAGCAATGTGTGGATGTGAAGTTATACTGGAATTAAAATTCAAATGTGTGCTTAAGTTCATATGAGTTTAAAGTTTGTATCTAAAGATGAGTCAAGAAGGCTCAAAAACTTTTAATACTTAAAAAATCAGATCTCTATAATGATTAGTATTTTTTATATGTATGTAATATGGGTCAAAAGTAAATAATATTTATAACTTTTTAACATGAAGTACCTGAGTAAAAGTCTCCACTTGAAAACCAAGTAAAGGAATGCTTTCTAAAGCTGCAACATCCTGAAAATAAAAAAATTTATTTGAATCACTTTGACATTAAATCTTCATAGGGCTATTAAATGTTTAGTTTGTCTGTTTACCAAATTATATATCAAATTTCAAAATTTTCAATAATCTAACTGAAAAAATATAGTGATGTATATCATTTAACATAAAAGTCAGATTTAATTTGAATCTATGAGACTGAGATATAATAAAATACTGTAGAATATTGTTGAAATTATATTAGATGAAGTATAAAATGTTATTTTATTAAATTATTAATGATTTGCTTTTTGAAACCGTGTCCTGTTTTATATTTGTGGCGTGTACGACTCAACTAATAAAGGAATTTGATGGAAAATTTGCCATGTGTCTTTGGAATAAAACACAATACTAGTGTTTACTACGCCACAAAAATAAATTATTAATCTTTTTATGAATTGAAAATATTTGAAATAATTATTCTTTTATAAATTTTTATAAAATAAAATTTAGCACAATTATTTTTATTGATAATGATAAAAATAAAGTAAGCAAAATAAATCAAAACTGTTGTAATAGTTCAAGAAAGCCATTTTATTTGTAGACATTTTAATTGTATTTTAATTTAAGTTTATTATTTCTATTAATAACAGAAAAAGAAAACTCTCACCTCACAAGCTTTATATCTGTAGAGAACTTTATCTTTCAAAACAAACCAGTAAGGTTTCCAATTTCTACGCTCTCTTTTACGTAAATATCCACTAATAGTTGAACCCTGATCATTGGCACATACCTTCAATGGCACAATTAAAGTTAAATATGAAATAAGACTTAAAAAGACAGTAATCAATTCAAAATTATTATAATTATAATATTTCAATGCTAAAAAATTGAAATTATTCATTTTTCATTATTAAACTGAATTATATACCCAAATCAAACAATTTTGCAGTCCACATAAAAAGTGTAATTTTAAAAATGTAATAAAATCTTTCAAAATTATTATCCTTCTGCATTTGAAAAACTTAAATAAAAGCAATCATCACATTTAATGAATTTATATTAGTAATTTGAATAGAAGAAAACCAAACTATTTCAATTGTTTTAAAATGTATTTATTAATACATCAAGTAATACATAATATAATTTTAAAAAAAATTCAAACAATGCTACAAAATATAAAAGAACAATAATCTTTCTCTTAATATGTATTTATAACTATATTCTTGAGAAAATGAACAAGCTGATGAAAAATTATGATAAATCTAAAATAACACTGTGTTTTTTCATTAAATAACCAACTATAAAAATATTCTACATTTTTAAGAACATTGTTAAGTTGATACATAATTTTCATAATACTTTAAAATAAACCAAAAATAAAAGAATTTTTTGGAAATTTAAACTAATAAGAACAATACATTAAGATAAAAATTTAAATATCTTGAAAATAGAAAAGTTAAAAATTAATGGCTTTTTAAAAATTAATGGCATTTTAAAATTATAAAACTGAAAAAAATGAACATAATTTCATTAAATATTACAGTGGTATCTAGAACTTCAAACAACTGTAACTTTAAAAACTTCAGAATACGAATGCCAAATTCAAGAAAAATTCACTTTGGAGTTCAAATGATGTTACAAAGTTAAAACTGAGCAGAATGAAAAAATGCACTGGAAGTGTACAATAAGTTTCTAAACAAAGAATACAATTGTTTCTCACACACTGTCTTATCAATTTTAAAGTCACATTTTTTTCTGAAATCCAATATATTCTCTTTTTTTATATATATCTTCCTGTATACAACTTAGTTGATAGCGTGAGCTGTACAGGAAAATGATCCAAGGTATCTTCATCACATACATTTAAAATCTGACAATGTTCAATCAAGGTTTGGGAACATATTATAAAATCTACAATCGATTTTCTATTTTGAGATACATAAGTGTATTCTGCTGGGATATCATCTTTCATTCTGCCATTTAGTATAACAAATTGGTTTTCTTGAACAAATTCTAATAGAATTTTGCCTTCGCTGTTTAAAATTTTATCTTTGAACTGTCTGTTGTTGTTAATATTTTCATAATTTAAAGATATCTCTGTGTCCAGCATCTCACCAATTCTAGAATTGAAGTCCCCTCCAAATAACCAACAGTGTATCAAAAAGGCCCATCTATCAATTTGGTGTTGTATTTCATTAAATATGTTTCTTTTTAATAGCAGGAGGAAGATATGTCACAATTACTCCTAGATAAGCTTCATTCCATGCTGTTTTAACTTGCTTATTAATTTTAATTATCACTAATATATAGTATGTTGTTATATTTTGATATATAATTTCACCAAAATTTCTTTTTATAATAAGAAGAATGCCTCCCGAAGGATGCCCAAATTTGCTTATACGATGAGCATTACTGGACACTAAAAGATTATCTCGTTCTAGATAACTTTTATCCAGAAAATTAACGTTTTTTATCCAAGTTTCAGTCAAACCTATAATTGTATTTGAGTATATAAAATTTTTTGTTAAAGTTTGAATTCTTCCTTTGAGACCTTGACAATTCCAAAAACTAATCACAAGGTTGTTCAGTTTTATCTCAGGCTTAATTTTATTATTTTGAAGATAACTATATCTATCTGAGAAAAACTTCTTTTCAGTTTTATACTCATTATAATTATCATTTCGATGATTATTATAGATACCGGTCGATTCATTTGTTAACATTGCTGCTTTATTTGCGAATACTTGGTAATTTGCCCCAAAAAAGAATTAATTATTATAAACTCATTATTATTAATGTCTAGAGTGTATATGCTATTATCTTTTATAAAGCAATCATCCCTGATTATCACTCTGGTGTTAGTTGATAATTGTGACTTGATTTTATTAAGCATTAGTTTCCTTCTAATTCTAGATCTAGTACAAAGATCTGTTTTAATAATAGTTTTTTCCATTTCTTTTTTTATATTCGGTTTCAATATCCAGAATCTTTTAAATATCAAGTTTCTATCTTTAACCAATTCTGTTATTAATTTTATCATTTGATTATTTGAGTTTCTCTTATCTAATTGAATTAGACCTTCTATTTCTGTCTTTTAGGTAAAGATCTACTTTAATGAAATTTTTGAGTTCTTGCAGCTTATCATCAGTTTTAAATGGAAAATTAATTATAACAATATTCCTTTTAGTGTTTTCATTATGTAATTTATCCAATTCAAACTCAAACGTACCTTTTACGTTTGCGAAGGCCTTTGTTTTATCTTCACACTGCTGATTTTTTGTAGAATGGTTTTCATTTCTTCTCTAATTTTTTTATCATCATCCTGTACATGACTTATTTCATGTCTCATTGAGTAAATTTCTTGATTTAGTAGTTCAAACTTTTCTTGAATTAAGTTGTAGATTGATTTTAACAAGTACCTCGAATCACTATCACTTGACTGGTTAAATTGTTCCGATGTTTCAAAATAATCCTCAATTCTCGTTTTACTAATATTACTTCTGTTATTTTTCGTTTCTTCCTCAGAAAAATATTCTTCTCCAATAATGTCTACTATTGTATCTTCAGAATTTTGTGCATATTCCTTTCTAGGTCTTCCACGCACCCTTTTTTGCATGTTGGTTTGACTTATCTTAACTGGTGAATGTTGCAGAGGGCAGGGATTTGTTTCAATGCCAGCCATTACCAACAACAATAAAATTAGATTTAATGGTATCAAATTCATTATTATACTAACAACACTAGAAATTGTTGTATTGTCTAACGTTTCACAGCAAAACATTGTTTGGAGAAGGTGAGTAAAAAAAGTCACCAACACTGATGATGGCTAGAAGCACCCCCTTTTCTGAAGTAAAATAAACTTTAGAAAGTATTCAAAAGAGTCAGAATTGAGACAAATTTTGGTATTGTCTCCTCACTAGTAAATACTAATATTATCAATTGTATTTTATTAATTCTAGATTTAAATAGTTAAAACTAGAATTAGTAAAAAGTTTTTGTTAGAATTATTTTTACATAGTAAGGTTGGGTTATGATGGACTTCAAGTTTTTACTGTAACATGTATATTTAATTTGATCCTTTCATACTAATTTAAAAAACTTTCACTTACATTAACAATCACTTTCAAAATGTAAAAAGACATACTTTTTAATTTTCATCATATTTACTAACTTTAAAAATAAAAATAAAAGGAATGAATGAAAATTTTGCAATCTTTTGATAACCCATGTGAATTTTTTAAATTTAATAACTGTAATTTATAACAGACTCCAACATATACATTTTTTTAACTAATTTTTTCCACAATTATTATTATTTTTGCTTTAAAAACATAATTTGTCAATTTTTATTTTAAAAGTACAGTAGAGCGTCAATTATCCGAATCAATTGGGGACTGGGGTTGTTCGGAAAATTGATATTTCGAATAACCAATTTTGTACAAAAAAATATATTAATCTATCCCATGTTGAAATTTTTCTCCGTTGCGTGTCGCTTCGCGTTGAATTTTCATCAATATTAAGCCTAATGAAGACTATTGTATCGTTAAAAGTTATTTTTTTATTTTGTACAAACAAAATAAATTTATTGAAAAATATAAAAACAATAAAAAAATTATACTTCAGAAGTTAATTTAGTATCAAAAACATAAAATATTTGAGTAGCCCAAGACATAGCCAAAGATTGCAGCGCCACAGTACTGGCGAAAATTTAAATTTGCCGACTGGAATTCTTTCGGATAATTGACTTTCGGATAATCGACGCTCTACTGTACCAGTAAGTGTATATATAAGAAACATAAATCATTATTTTTACCTCTTTCAAAACACTTGGAAGATGCCTTTTAATCTTTTTACCTGCTGCTTTGACATTTCCTTTAAACTGAGCTTTAATTGATGCGAAAGCATGTGAAGAATCACTATCAGTTTCTCCTAGTTCAGAACTGGTTCCCGATTCACCCACTTCTGAGGTTTTCTCAGTTGGTTCCACAGCTTCATATTCTAAATTCATTAAAATGTTAACTGTTTAAAATATGTAATAAAGGACATTAAAATAGAAATAACATTCCTAAATTTAAAATTTATCTTAAAAAAACAAAAACAAAATATTTAATGAGCCTAGACAGGAATCTTGATGTATCAAAAAAAATCTCATCAAATAAATATTTCAATATAAAAATCTCCAAATAAGTTTATTTCTTATTGCGATGAAACCATAATAAAATACTGTACAAAAGTATAAAATGTCCAAAGTGATAATTTACTATTAATATAATATTAAAATCAAAATTAAATCATTATAAGAAATTTGATTAAATAAATATTATAAAATAACTGTTTTGAATGTTGCTTGTAAATACACAAAATGGCTTTAAATCTTTTAGGTTTAATGCTTTATTACAACAGAACAGCAAGGTATAAAAATTATTCTCAAATATCAATCAAATCAGTATTTGAAACCATTTATATTATGATGTTTAATACACTTGTCCTCAATTTTAACAAACTTTACACTTCAGAAAGCACAATGGAAAAGAGTTAAATGTCCTGCTTATTATCCTGAACCCTTATGTTGTTTTCATTGAGATATTTCAAGGATATTTTGTTCCAAACCAAGCTGAAGACTGAGAACATTAAGTCATATAGTAAGTGCAAAATCTTCACTATTCAAAAAGGGATTCTTCAAACATGATGTCAAACTTTGAGATAAGACCAAAAAAGTGAAAACTGAAGTTAAAGGCAAGCATATAAAATCTAACTTAAATGGCTTCAAATTTGATTTGAATAGTTTTTGAGTAAGATTTAACTATGTTGTCATTCATTTTTTTTAATAAAATATTAAATTTTGATGGTAGGTTTTAGATGTGTGTGTGTGTGTATAACTAGTCAAATTAACTATTATTTTAAAAAACAAAAATGCAAACCTTTTTGAAGCACTTGAAAACATTCATCACAAACTTTAGCAACCTGAAAGTTTCTATATTGCAAAGGTGCCTTATTTCCTGAACATAGAGAGCAAACAACCTAAATAATATATATATATATGTATAAAATTAATATTCATGTAAATTTCCACTCATAATAAATATAAAAAAGCAAATACTTTGACAATGCAAAATCATCTAAAAATAGGATTTAAATTTTAAAAATNTGGTGTACAGTATCTGTAGTTAAAGAAAAATTCTAGTATACTTCATAAATGGTTATGATAGATAATAATTTCAGTTGCCATTCTCTCTACTATAATCACTATAGAAAGGGTTATTAATTATCATATTTTAAATGAATTTTATTTCAAGTGCTACATCATAAACATTTTCCTTTACATTTTTATTATAATGCTTATTAACACTTTATCAATTAAACATCCTCAACTCCATTACTCTGAAAATAAAATTTAAAAAAAAACTTGATTTTAAATGCAAAAATACCAATTATAATCATTAAAATTCTAGAAAAGCAATTTTTAGAATCTCCAAAGTAAATAACTGTTTCATTATTTAGTTTGTGAAACTTCGGATCTATAGAGTTAACAGAACTGAACTGAACTAATTGTTTTTAATTTATTATATATGTATTGAAAAATGTGTGTGTACAATAAAATGCTTTAAGTGAAATATGAGGATTTTTCAACCTCATTGACCCAGAATTAAAAAAAAAAAACAAGAATGAAGAACAAAACCAATTTATTTGTAGAAGGTAGTTACAGTCTTCATCTATTTTTCCACATAAATGCCTTCTTGATTCAGCAGACATCATACTGTGACACCAGCTTTTGTATACCCATGTCAAAGAACATTGCCACCAGGCCATTCAGCCAACCTTTAAGACTGTCAGTCAGTGGTATACAGTGTGGATCTTGAAATTTGAGAAAACTCCTCACTGAGCTCAGAAATCAAGAACCAATGCCTTTCTCACACCAATTGATCCACTTTGTCCACCAAATCATCAGTCATCACACACTTCCTCCCTTGACCACCCTCATCATGAACGTTGTCACGTCCTTGTTTGAATTTCCTGCACCATTCACACAGACATCCATAGCTCATGAGGTTCTCACTATACACATTACACATCCTTCAATGAATTTCACCTCCATTCAGCCCTTCAGCCTGTAGAAACAACTCAAATTACTGCTCAAACTTCACAGTTGGCAAGAGACTAAATTGGCAGCATCATGTTTACATGTTTACTGCAGAGTAGCAAATGTCTAAAATAGCTTGGCACAATGCTAAGTGGTGAGAGAATATACTACTCAGTAGGTATGCACCCTCAGACTTTTCCCTTAGCAATTGAGCTGTGCCTGTCATCTGTCTAACTTCTTTCAGGGGAAATTTTTAAATTGAAATAACATGACTTCCAGTTTGCATCAAAAGTTTGCATATAATTAATCATGGCCTCCTGCCCTTAAGCTTTCCCTATCTTATCTTGTCTTTCATCTATCTAACTCTGTTCTCAACATTAGGAAAAGACAGACAAACTGACAACAGTGGGAAGTTATAAGCTCAAATGCTTATTTTAAAAATTAAAAAGTTTAATAAAGAAAAAGTTCAGTTTACTAAAGAAAAGAAAAGACTAAAATAATTAATTCATTTTATGTAACAAATTTGAAAAACTATTTTCTCCTGTGGCATCTGTATTTCTGCTGAATTTTAATCTTAACCTGTCCTACGTTGATCCCGAAAATATTCGCGTTGACCTCATTGACCTGCGTGGGCGATCCCAAATATTTCTGTGTTTACATCAGAACGTTTTTGATACTAGATGTTGCTTTACGTCACAATTTTTATATTAAAACGAACTTTTAAAATAAATTTATTTTTGTTTTTATATTTTTCAATATATATATTTTGTTTGTGAAACATAAAAAAATAATTTTTTATGATACAGTAAATCTGATTATTATTAAAAAAAAAATTTTTAAGCTTAACATCAACAAAAATTCAACATGGCGTCACAGGCAACAAATAAAAATTTCAACACCGAATAGGTTAAAATACATATATAAAATGGTATTAGATACCACTCATTATTGAAAACATATTATTTTGTATCTTGAATTTTATATCTTAAAATGATAGTAAATCTGTAAGAGTAAAATCAACAATTTTAAACATCCTTCTTTCAAGAGTATATTGTGTAAAAAAAAATTGGAGCTTTTTAGATAAAATGTAATTTACTGTAATTTCTTTTTACTGTATAATGTATAAGGAAAGTATAAATACTGTTTTATTTCATAATGCATAGAGCAATCTGTGATAGAAAGATTACTCTCAATGTATAATCAATTACCTGAAAAAGTTCTACAAAATCTATATGTATAAGTCATATATCAGAAAATATCCTAAAACAGTAAAAGTTATATACTATACACCTTTTATAATACTTTAGTTAAATACAGAAAAAAGTTTTCAACAGAAGAAATAAAAAATTATAAAAATTTGGCTTTGAAAATTTGATCTTAAATTATGTAGATGCATTTATAAGTTTGAATATATTAAAATATTTGTCATTTAATTCATTACAATGTATAATTTCTTAAAAATATTATATCTATAATGTAATTCAATACTTCTTAATCTTAAAGGTATTGAGTTATATAACTTGAATTATTAAAAACACTTTAAATTGTTCATTTTTAAGCTTAAAAACAAATAATTTAATAATTTCAAAACTTTAAAAATATTTATTTCAATGTTTTAATAAAATAATATAAAATCAGACAGGATCTGCTTAGTTAACAACAATCTTAAATATAAAAAACAAGTTGTTTGAAAAATGGAAAAATTATGATTAGTATAGAAAATACTGCTGTAAAATTCTTTTGTGAATATTCAATTTACAAGTATTTTATATTTAATAACAGAATAAAATAAAAAGTCAGTTAGAATTTTAGAAGTTTTAGAACTTTTACAGTTTATGATAAATAAATTGTAATCATTGAATAAGATTTTGAAATTAGATTACAATTAAAGGTCTCATATAAAAACCTTTGAACAGTGAAACCAGAAAACTGTGTAATTCTAACAGCAAATTTTACAGGAGACTAATAAAACTGTTGTTGTTATCGAAACCGTGTTGTTGTTTATGTATTGTATACTGGCACAATGAAGTGACCGTTTAATCAAACACTTGGCAAGTTTTCAATCTTTATTTAGTTAGATAAAGATTGAAACTAAACTAAACTAACTAAATAAAGATTGAAAACTTGCCAAGTGTTGATTAAACGGTCACTTCATTGTGCCAGTATACAAACTAATAAAACTATTTTTTCAAAAGTACACATATACTGAAAATACATTTATGTAAATGAATTTTCAACTTTGAAAATACATTATGTAAATGAAATTTTCAACTAATTTAAATTAACAGGAAATACAGACTATCAGGTGGTAAATATTGGTTTCCACCATTAGAAGGCATTCCGATTTTCAATAAATAGTAGAATTACATTATTTTTTGGTTTCACCAAAAAAATGTAATAATTGAAAATAATTTGATTTTTAAATCATAATTTAGTTATAGCAAGTATACAGTGAAATCTATACTAATATTATAAAGAGGTAATGTTTGTAAGTTTGTATGTAGAGGGTAAATCTACGNTAATAACAGAATAAAATAAAAAGTCAGTTAGAATTTTAGAAGTTTTAGAACTTTTACAGTTTATGATAAATAAATTGTAATCATTGAATAAGATTTTGAAATTAGATTACAATTAAAGGTCTCATATAAAAACCTTTGAACAGTGAAACCAGAAAACTGTGTAATTCTAACAGCAAATTTTACAGGAGACTAATAAAACTGTTGTTGTTATCGAAACCGTGTTGTTGTTTATGTATTGTATACTGGCACAATGAAGTGACCGTTTAATCAAACACTTGGCAAGTTTTCAATCTTTATTTAGTTAGATAAAGATTGAAACTAAACTAAACTAACTAAATAAAGATTGAAAACTTGCCAAGTGTTGATTAAACGGTCACTTCATTGTGCCAGTATACAAACTAATAAAACTATTTTTTCAAAAGTACACATATACTGAAAATACATTTATGTAAATGAATTTTCAACTTTGAAAATACATTATGTAAATGAAATTTTCAACTAATTTAAATTAACAGGAAATACAGACTATCAGGTGGTAAATATTGGTTTCCACCATTAGAAGGCATTCCGATTTTCAATAAATAGTAGAATTACATTATTTTTTGGTTTCACCAAAAAAATGTAATAATTGAAAATAATTTGATTTTTAAATCATAATTTAGTTATAGCAAGTATACAGTGAAATCTATACTAATATTATAAAGAGGTAATGTTTGTAAGTTTGTATGTAGAGGGTAAATCTACGAAACTACTCATCCGATTTCAAAAATTCTTTCATCAATATTTAGAATGGAACTTCAGGGTGGACATAGGCTGTATATTATTCCGTTAAACATTCATATAAATTAAAAGATATCATCTAGGGTTAAGACTTTTATTCCAACAGATGGCGCTATGAGTATGACCACCTAAGTTTACTTTTCTGTGAGGCATTATGCTTTTCTGCAAGGATGAACTAAAGCAGATCATCTTCTATCTATCTATATAAATAAAAATGTAATGTTCATTTGGTCCTACTGATTCCTTTGAAATTTTGATACAATGCTGCATTCGAATAGGCACATGTTTTTATATAATATACATGTCAAAATTCCCCCACTGGGGGAGATGGATAGGATTAAGGCTTACTGTAAAGAACTCTGCTTCTATTTATACTATTTTAGATGCAGTTTTTTGCATTTTTGATTGCATTTTAACAGGGTATGTCAAGAGAATGTACACTAAGAAGGGATTTTTCGAAAAATTCCCCCCATGGGGGAAGTGTTATACATCTATATATATAAAACTCAAAGGTGACTGACATAGTGATCTATCAACGCACAGCCCAAACCACTGGACGGATCGGGCTGAAATTTGGCATGCAGGTAGATGTTATGACGTAGGCATCCGCTAAGAAAGGATTTTGATCAATTCTACCCCCAAGGGGATAAAATAGGGGATGAAAGTTTGTATGAAACTTTGTCAATTTTAAACCGATCGGGCTGAGACTTTGCATGCATAAAGCTACTATGACGTAGGCATCCCCTAAGAAAGGATTTTGATAAATTCCACCCCTAAGGGGATAAAATAGGGGATGAAAGTTTGTATAAATCTTCTTAGATTTTCGACTGATTGAACTGAAATTAAAGATTGGAGCTACTATGATGAAGACGTCCGCTTAAATAGGATTTTGATAAATTCAACCCCCATGGGGGATGTAAATGTATTAGTTTGAACCTATCAGTACCTAATGGAACGAATAAATTAAGACGAACAAAATAATTTTTAGTTCTAAATGTTGACAATAGATGGCGTTAGTAGTATTTTAAAACGCGCTATCGTTGTGTTTTCACTGAGTTACATATACCCGATGATGAGTGGCCGCCGTATCTAATAGTACATACTATACCTAAATATTTCTAACGAATTATATTTGACGGGGGTTAATTAGGTATAGTTTTTGCGGGGATTATATTGTACCCTTTGTACATAGTTGTACAAAGAAGTTTTGTAGGCCCTAATTTTTTACACACGCTAAACAAAAGTAAAGCCGCAAAAACTATACCTAATTAATATTACTTCTTAACGCGAGCGAAGATGCGGGCAAAAGCTAGTTTATAATAAATACATTTTGAGCCACAACAATGCGTGGCGGGGTCTGCTAGTAATAAATACAAGAGATTTAAAAAAAAAAAAACAAAAATTAAAATGAGATTAAACTGAAGTAATATAAAAGTTATGAAAAAATTAGATATATAATAATTAAAGTAATTGATTAAGATATAAAATTAATTTTATACCACACTTTCAATTCAATTCTATAAGTTGTGAAGACAAGACAATTAAGTATATTTGATTTGAATTTGAATATCAATTTTTGTTTATATTTGCTTTATTGAATTCACTATTTAATACTGTTAGTTGGCTGTTCCCCCTTTCTAATATTTTAATATATATTATATAATCTATGATCCAAAATTATCATTCTTAGAAAGATGAAATCTGTTCTTTTTCATGCCAAAAACTAAGGAACTAAATAAATCTAAGGAAACATACAGCAAAAATTTATACATAAATACACATCTATAAAAATTTAAAGCTATATCATTAAAATATTTATGTTAAATCTGTTTCTGAAATATTTCAATTATTAAGCTAGCCATTTTGTAAAAGCTTAGATTACCTTTCCACAGGCACGACAATGGTGACGTCGAAATGTAACAGTAAATTCTCTAGTGCACAACTGACACATTGTCACCCGAGCATCTGGAATCCATACAGGTGCTTGCTTTCCCAAAACAAAAGCATTATCTGACTTTTCTCCTTTATCCTGATAAAATAATAGTAAATAAATTATTATAAAACTAATCTTTTTTGTCTGTTTTTGATTTTAAAAAAATATACTATCTTATAAAAATAACAACAGATAAATAATACTTTTCAACTACAAAAATAATTTTAAAAAACTTTTTAAAGCTTTTGAAAATTACTTTTGTATTTGAAATCTCACTAGTTCTTATAAATTTTAACCACAAGATAGTAAAACTATTAACATAACACTGTACAAAAATTTTCTAATATATCTGCACATGAATTATAGTGGAAACTTGAGTATCCAAACTTAATGGGACCAGAGATCATTCAGATAAATAGAATTTCACATAACCAGAAACTCATCTGTTTTTGTGTGTTGATACAAGCACTGTGTACTTAAAATTTTATGAATTATAAATACTGTGATGCAATTATTGATTTAAAGGTAAATTAATTTACTCAAAATCTAATATAACCTAAATATATAAAATTACTTGTCCTGACTGACTGACTAAGTCACTGACTGATTCATCATCGCCCAGAGCAAACCACTGAACCTAGAGGTGAAATTTGATAGCCTACATAGTTAGGGTACGTCATGAAAATGCACACTAAGAAGGGATTTTTTGAAATTCCCCCACAGAGAGGGAAAGGGAGAGCATTAACGCTTAACCTGAAGAACGGCTTTTGAAATTGATTCCCATACTTTCCCTTAAATTGATAACATTTCAGACATTGTTATAAATATTTTTATATATTTTGATTTTTAACCAAATGTTTGAACTGTTTTAAATTGGAATTTGTTATTGCATATTGGTTCATTATAGAACGATTGTAAACGTTCCAGAAAACTAATCAAATTGAAAATAGTTTGTTTGATTCTCAGCAATTCTCATTATTCTCAGCAGGTGTTATATAACAATTACTATAATTGGTGAAATACTGAATATAAATGGGGTTTGCTTGCAAAATCCCTGAGGGCGAAGTCGTGGGTAACAGCTAGTATTACATATATATATTGCTACAATCAACTGTTGACAGTGATTTCCAGTTACATGTTCAGTCTTAGTGGTATATACCAACAATGCCCAAATTGTGGCTTGCGAGCCACATGCAGCTCTTCAAGAGTTTAATTGTGGCTCAACTAATAAATAAAAAATATTTGTTATTTTTAAAAATTTCATTACAAACATTACAAGTTCATAAACCTTCAACTAGCAAAGAGTAAATAAAAAAAATGTAATAAATATGTCAAAATTCTCAAAATAAATACATCATGATTCTGAAATTTTTATTTTTTATATCAAGAACATTAGGTGTGGCTCCCAATATTTTCAGATAGGTAACTAGGGCTCTTACAGCAAAAAATCTGGGCACCCTGGTACCCAATGCACAATGTTACATATTCCATTATTTAATTATTTATTTTTAATTTTTGCAATTTTGAATTTAGTAGCTTCTGTTCTCAAGAAGTGAAGATGTGTCAAAATGACATCATTTTGCTGCATGTAACAAGCATAATGCATCTTTTAAAGTAGAAAAATATTTTAATTTATTTTGTAAAACTAAATATTAAAGAAAAAGTTTGTTGTTTTGATGAAACAGTAAAGCACAGATATGGAACATCAACTGCATTACCCATCCCATCATGCATTATAATTTTTTTTTTAAACTACAGCATAAATTTGGAAAGATTACAAAATTAAGTCCAATCTAACATATTGAATTTTAAATATCCTAATTTAAATTGAAATGTAATAAATCAGTATATTTCATCAATATGCAATGCCATAATGAAACAACTATAAATGATACTTTCAAGAATTTTATAATTATAAGAAACAGCAAAAGTTTGCAATAATTTATATTATATCATCATCATCAAACATTAAGAATTTGAAATTTTGTAGTTCTTCTGTTTTCTGTAGCAGCTTAGTTGAAGGAGGTTTAAATGTCACAATACAATACAAAGAAAATGCTCAATATTTTGCAAAAATAGGGTTTATAAATTTTATTATAATGATGCAGAGCACAATCAGGTTATTTCTAAATTTTATTAATATTTTTCACAACTTTAATTTAATAATTAAGAATTAAGGACAAATTATTAAATTAATTAATTAAGGAATTTTTCTAGGCATTGGATACCCGAAATTGATGTTATTACTGTAAGCAATTTGCAAATGAAATAGAAAAATAGAATATCCGTTCACACCAATAAAACAACCTTTATCCTCTGAAAGTGTTTCCTGTGTGATATGTTCTCAACGGCAACATTGTGTTAAGAAAACACATATAATAGAGAACAACAAGCAACCAAGATTTAAGAAAAATAGAAATCTGTGTTTTTCTTTTAATAACTAATGAAAATAGAATGTATGAGTCAAACTTTTTGACTACCCTACAGTTAACATAGCATTTAAATAACTTTAATAGTTACATATTACTTAAAATATGGTTAAAAATAATTTAGTGTGGTATATTTGAGTTGTATCAGATCATTTCTTTCCAGATTTTACTGGAAAGAAATAAGTTGACACCATTCAAAGGAATGGCTTAAATACTGATTAATTCAATCAATGAAAAGCTATTAGTTAATTTTAATTTATTATGTAATCTACAATTCTGATATTAATTACTAATATGCAGTTATAAAAAGACCAAAATATATCCAATATCATAATCATAAATATTTAGTTAATTTTTACTAAACATGTATAACATATTAAACATATTAAATCTTTGCCAGAATTGCAAATGCTACTTCTCAAATAAAATACCTTCTGTAACATAGCTGTTGTAAAGGTACTCCGTTTAGAAGCATTTTCTTCGATGGCTTTATTCAATGCATCAACCCATTCTTGACGTTCTTCTAAAGATCTACAATTATTTTGTAATTTGTTTTAATATAAAAGCTTTTTCTAAATATTTGAGAAAATTTATTTTTTAACATATAAAAACAAAGATATAGGAAAAGCCTATTTATCTAAAAGATAGAATAATAATACATTTTGTAATCATAGATCTTAAACTTTTCTTAAACTAAACTTAAAATTATTATTAAATGTTAAATCTTAAACTAAAGATTTAACATTTATCTAAATATATAAAATTACTTGTCCTGATTGATTGAATGATTCATCATCATCCAAAGCAAACCATTAAACCTAAAGAGGTGAAATTTGGTACACAGTTATGGTATGTCATGAAAATGCACACTAAGAAGGAATTTTTCAAAATTCCCCCGCGGGGGGAGAGGGAGAGGATTAAGGCTTAACCCAGGGGTGGCCAACAGTTTTTGCCCCAGACCAAATTGGAAAGAAAACTTTTTTCATGGGCCGAACCAGGGGCTGCCCTAGGAAGATTTTGAGGTGGTGCAAGATCTCATTGTGGTGTCACTCCGTAGAGACTAAATTGTACATAGAGATTACAGATACATTTTTCACACATTAGACAGGCTGGATCTGGCCCACGGGCTGTATGCTGGCCATGCCTGGCTTAATCTGAAGAACGGCTTCTACTGTACTATTTTAGATGTGAATTTTTGTTTTTTCAACTACGTTTAGTCTTCATTGAATTCTTAGGTATATTAAATTGATAACATTTCAGACATTGTTATAAATATTTTTATATACAGTAGAGCGTCAATTATCCAAAAGTCAATTATTCGGAACATCAATTATCCGAAAGAATTCCAGTCGGCTAATTTAAATTTTCGCTAGTGCTGTGGCGCTGCAATCTTTGGCTATATCTTGGGCTACTCAAATATTTTACGTTTTTGATACTAAATTAACTTCTGAAGTATAATTTTTTATTGTTTTTATATTTTTCAATATATTTATTTTGTTTGTACAAAATAAAAAAATAATATGATACAATAGTCTTCATTAGGCTTAACATCGACGAAAATTCAACGTGAAGTGACACGCAATGGAGAAAAATTTCAACATCAGATACGTTAAACTATTCGTACATAATCGGTTATCCAAAATATCAGTTATCCGAACAACCCCAGTCCCCAATTGATTCAGATAATCGACGCTCTGCTGTATTTCGATTTTTTAACCAAATATTAAAACCATTTTAAATTCAAATTTATTATTGCATATTGGTTCACATATAGTTTACAATTATAGAACAATTGTAAACGTTCAAGAAAATTGATCAAATTAAAAACAGTTTGTTTGATTCTCAGCAATTCTCATCATTCTCAGCAGTAGGTGTTATATAACAATTACTATGGTTGTTGAAATACTGAATATAAATGGGGTTTGCTTGCAAAATCCGCACAGGTGAAGTCATGGGTAACAGCTAGTTGTTTCATATTTTGATTAAATGATTAAGATTTTTCATATATACAAATATAGAAACATGATTCAAATTCATCAATAAATATTTACTACAAAAGTAATTTTAGGATAAGCATTCCTCTTTTAATTAAAATAAAAAAAATCAACAAAAGTACATTTCAACAGAATCTCAAATTTAAATTAAAATTATAAAATCATTAAGGCACTTTTACTAAAAAATATATAAATCTGTTAACTAAAGTAGTCTTATTTTTTCCAATAGCACACAATTTGGAAACTTATTAATACAGATAAAAATAGACCAATGTAATATCATAGAACAAGTTTCTTTTTGGCCAAACTAGATTGGTTATTATGGCCATTGGATTTGCTTATTAACTTATTGCCCCTAAAAGTCGGCAACTTACAGATATATAGTACTCTCTCTTTTGTATGCCAGCTTCTTTTCTCCATTGCATGTAATCTCTTTGTATATTGGATTCAGCATCTCGTTATATTCCACCACTATGTTTTTAGACTCAGCTATGTTTTCTGTCTTGGGATAATATCTTGTCGTACATATAATTTTGTGCTAATCATTCTATAAATTTTATCGAGTACCCATGTGTTATTGCTATTTTCTTTATTTGCTTAAGTTCTATAATTTGTATCCTTCATACTTGTGCAATGGATAAACATCCACCTAATTAACAATCTAAAGGTAGCTACTTTATATCTAAATGGATTATTCAAGTGAGCTTTAATGAATAAAGGAATGTAATGGAAAGGAATTCTGGTTTATAATACATATTGATTATTATAACAACTTCAATTAACCCATAGGATGTTAATATAAAAATTAAATAGAATACATTAGTTGTAAAATTTAATTAGGTAAATTTAAATTTGTAAATTGCATAAATATTTGAAGTTTGAATTCAAATCGAATGTAGAATGTGATAGAACAGGGATGTCCAACCCACAGCCCACTTAATATTTTTATGCAGCCCACTGCACCCTAAAAGTTTTAGATACATTTTCATTTATTTTGGTAAAGAATGTTGTAAAAATTATTCTCATTTCACTGGATACACTTTGATGTCATAATGACGTAATTGATGCTAGAAAACTGTACTATTCCACATGCAAAACATACTGTTGTAAATAGTTCTTTTCGTGCATGAAAAACATCAAAACCACTGAAATAGGTTAAGTGATTCCCATTTAGTCAGTCAAGCTGTTTGAAAACATTTGTCATTTTTAAGATATTACTGGAAGTAAAACTAAGGTTAATGTGGTGATTTATATCTACTCTTTTCTAGTTTGAATTTGTTTCTCTTTAAGTAATACAGTGATATCTCTGTACTTGAACTGCTCCAAACTCAAACAATTTGGTATTCAAACACAAGTTCAAAGGGTGGGGAAATCACTTGGTACTTGACAAAACAAACACAGTCTACTAGAATAAATTTTTTCATTTTAATTTTGTCATCCATAAAAATTTTCTATGATAAAAATGAGTAACTAACTTAAAAATAAAATTCAACCCTAGAATTACCTATCTTTGTTATAAAAAATTACACTCATCCAGTTTGTTTTTTTTTTTCACTTAACATGTGTGGAATCCAATCATCACATTTTGTAACCATTCCAAATGGATGAAGTGTTTCAACAATACATGTCTGTTATACATTAAGGATTTGTTGTAAGTTTACAAGTTTTATTTGTTGAAGTTAACAATTTATTCCTGCATTTTTTCTACATTGACAGCTTTTGAGACCCTTCCATTGCACATCCTTTTGTTCAAAATTTCCAGAATGGAACTTTTAAAAGCACACTTGACATGTTGAAGTTTAGGAGCATCTTCCCCATACAGATTATAATTGTTTTTATGGTTTGTATGGTATTATATTCTTTCAGAAACTTATAATGCATAATATGCCTGATATGCATTTTATCCGAGACATTTCAGCTTCATTTTACTCAGACAAAATATAAAGTTCAAAATAAGTTTCTAAACAAAGAATACTATTTTACATTAGCAATACTGTGTTAAATTTCAGAACTGTTATAATTAAATCATACATTGTGTTAAGTAATGACAGCTGATAAAAACATGCAAAAACTTTCTGTAAACAAAATTAATAGGCAAATTTTGCCACTTTGTATTGTGTATTGATATTTTTTGTTTTTATTGATGCTTGCTAGGCTTGTTAAATTTGTGTTAAATTCTAGTTAAAATGCTTATATTTTTGGTAATTTTGAAGGGACTGGAATGGATTAATATAATTTACATTACTCCTTATGAAAAAAATTCATATGGTGCTCAACCTTCTGGAATAAATTACAGTTCAAGTACCAAGATATCACTGTATTTCTTAACATTTATGTTAACAGTTTCTGTCCTAAACTTTAATTATAAACAGCTATTTTTTATAAATGCATAAATTTTTAACATGGATGAAAAATATATATTGTAGTTAAAAAATGGTATATAACTAAGTTGATTTATCATAGATCTTAATCTTTCTATAATTTTTTATGAAATATTTATTTCTCTTTTCAATCATATTCCACAGTTTAAAAATAATTGTTTTAACAACAAATAACAATAATTAAAATTATAATTTATTATTGTTACCAATAGCAATTAATATAATGAATTTTTAATATCTAATACAAAAATTCTTAAATTCAGACATTAAAAATTTATTGATTTCTATTATATAAAAAAATAATTCTTTCATGCAATCTGTAACTGATAAGTAACTTTTAAATCAGGCAATGGATTATTCCATATATAATTCATAATTAGCTGAGTAATGTATTTTAAGATATAATTTTTTTTTTCAGTTAAAATGATCTGGTTTTTTATTGAACTAACAGACTTCACAACAAAATAAACCCTTTATTTTGAAATAAAAAAAAAATCTTTAACCCATTCTGGAAAATTTCTTTATGAACATTTATAACAGTGATACCCATCAGGTAAGAAAAAATTATTTTTATGTTCAAATTTTAGAAAAATTAAACAATTTGTTATCAAAAAAATAAATTATACTTTTGCAAATTGTCTAATTGTCTACTTGGACCTTGTTTATCAATAGGACTTATTAACAGTAACTAGGACTTAAAACAGTAAGGACATAGTGGTAAAAAGAATTAATGTCTAATTTAACTTTATGACATGCTTAAGTCAAATAAAATTTAAAATTTACTGACCTAGCAGCCAGTGTAAATGATCTTGTAACACTTATAATGCTAAATTCATTTTTATAGTCTTGATGCTGAGGAATGCTAACTTTCATTCCTGTTAAGGGCAATTCATAATTCACTTTATACAAGCCTTGTTGCATGCAGATGAGATAAAAAAGTGAATCATTGAACTAAAAATAAACAAAAATTACAATATATCTGTGAATAAACAAAAGAATAAAAAAATCAAAAAGTAAAACTTGATTAAAATTAAATAATATTAAGAAAAAATACATACATAATTGTTATATCAGTTATATCAATCCTGAGTTTTTGATTTAAATTATTTATCATACTCTTTAACAAATATTATCTCTAATCTCATATGAAACTATTATGACTATTTACAGAAAAATCATATATATCAAATATTTACTTTTGCGACATACGTATAATTATTTAAAAAAAAAAAAAAAAGTTTTGATGTGTTTAAA